GCTGGCACCGACGCGTTCAGATGCTCCTCGTCGTCGTGCGGAGTGGCACTGGCGAGTCGAATGTCGTCTGGATACACGAATGTGTTGTCTGGACCATGGTAAACGATGAAACGTTGAAATGCTTGAGCTACTTTTCGGAGAACAGAAGGCGTACACAGAAACTCAAATAGAGCGAATGGTGTGGTCACCGCCGTCTTCGGAACATCTTCGGGGTGCAGCAGTATTTAATAATACGCTGGAAATTTTTCGTTCTCGGTAAACGCCTTACATTCCGCTAAACTGACACTAAGATCCCAGATATGAGGGATAGGGCAGACGTCCGGCGTCGTGAAGCTGTTTAAAGCGCGATAGTTACCACAATGCCGCCAGTCGCCCGAGGACCTTTTGGGGACCATGTGCAGAGGTAAAGCCCAGGGGCTGGAGGAAGGTCGGATGCGTCCGAGATCTGGCATGTGCTGAAATTTAGCTCGGTTTACTTTAAGCTTGTTCGGAGTGACGCGTCTGGGGCGGCAGTGGGCAGGCGGACCGCGAGTGACAATATGATGGATGATATCAGTTGTCACCCGAGATAGGGTGTCCGGCGGTTTCTTTAAATCCAGAAACTCGGAGAGGGCCTCTCTGAACCTGTCAGTGGCATCGTAGGTACAGCGAAAAAGGACACAACGAAGATGTGCTCGTGGGTGCATCACTGGTTTTATAGAAGATGAGACGGTGGACGAGCGCATGTCTAACAGGATCAACCACAGGGTTGAAGTGTCGGAGGATATCGATACCGACAATGGACCGTGAAATGTAAGCGATGATCAATACCAAGGTTAACCTACGGCGAATACCGAGGTCCAGTGTGAGCGAACGCCAGACGTAGGTTTTATTGGGTGTGCGGTTCGCCGCGACCAGTTTCACTGAACAGGAACGACGGCGTTCGGCTGGGTGAGGGAGTACGACGCTGACCTGTGCACCTGTATCTACCAGGAGATATATCCCGGTATTTTAGTCGGAGACGAAAAATAGTCGATTTGTTTGTGGTGAGCCGGAAACGGTCGTCACGTGGGTCGACCGATTTCCCGATTCAGACGTTTAAGTGCATCGCGTGAGGCATCACCGTAAAGGCGGTGATACCAGCAAACTCCTGCAGGTGGGTGTGAGCGACTTAAGCTTGTCAGGCAGCCTGTCCGACGGCGTTTGCATGGGCGGGCACGAGTTAGTGTCAACGTTTGAACCTTTACTGTTAACTCGTTGACGTAGTTCACTAGTTCGGTGTTGCTTGCGCGAAGATTCTGATTGACAGTTGGTCAGCGTGGACCCCCTTAGTCATTTCGGCTAGCTCTTTCAGGGTGTAAGGTTGTCCGAAATACTGCAGGATGGGAGACAAAATCTCCGGTGGAGCCTGCATCCAGGATAACTTGAGGATTTTCTCGTCTACGTTTATAAGTATTGTGACCCAGAAATTCTTACTTCATATACATTTGATCTCGTTTTCGTCTGACTCAACTGGCCCACCTCCGTGGCACATGCTAACCAGGTAGGTGTCCACTTTCTCAACCATTTTTTATCAGAACACGGATCCAGCTTCAAAACTGGATCTGTGGAACACAATCTACTTTGGTACATACTTTTATAAGTATTGTGACCCATTATTTCTTCATATGTATCTGATTGCGTTTTCATCCGACTTATTTTACTCCACTCCGTGGCACATGCCAAACAGGTAGCAGTGTCCATTTTCTCAACTGATGTTCTACCAATACACGTATCCACGCTTATTTATGATCTGTAGAGCAAGACATATTTTGATAACATCCTTTTACCACTATTATGACCTAAGCACCCACCCTGATTAGATTTTGTCGTTAGCTTCTTGCGCTTTCTCTCCCTAATCCATTTCCAGTTGGGTATTACCCCAGACTGCCGATGTACGCCTTCCTATTCCAGATTCGGTTGGTTTGAGCCTGACGAAGGCTTGGGTTCTACACCCACAATGGACAATTTGGCACGGGCAATGGTTGTTGGGCGCGGTTGTATCCACCGCTTTGACTACATGCGTCCGCATTCCGGACCAGTTTGATGAACGCATCCCCTGCCTTACCTACAAAGTGTTTTAAGGTTTGGTGCCTGGCGTGTAGTCAGTCCCACATCAAAGTGACCAAAGCATAAAGAACGAATATAACCCAAATAAATCCATTGCTGATCGGAGCCCCTGAGACCACTGATCAAGACCCTGCAGAACTCGTCTGTTTCACTACGTGCAGTGCATATATTTTCTATGACACTTTCACTCTGTTCTGCTTCATCCTATCCGCTCTTGTGTCGGTTTCCGTCCATTCCCGCCCAACGATCTACATGGCTCTGGTTATTTTACTCACTGATTGCCGTATTTTCAGTCATCTCATCATTCATCCGGTATAACGATTCTCGTTTTTCGTCTTACTTCCACCGACTTGCTCTTTTAGAGCATTCCGCCATCCTGAACCTTTTTCTCTGATACCTTGTCCACTTTGTGTTCCATCTGTAATTATGCTCGCTGAGACCTTCAAAGTTTTCCTTTTGGGCCTCTCCTGTACGGATGATTATGTTGTACATTTGATCATGCCTATGCATGCTTTACGCGGCTCCGTGAAATATACACTTATTATTATTATTATTAGGTTTGCAGTTGGCCCTGTAAGGAACTTGAGAGCTTTGTAGGTGTTTCAAAGCCGTTATCTCCGAGGCGCAAGCCACCCAGGATTTGCTTTAGAGGAGATTCCACGGGTATGCCGAATACGCCCAGGAGTGCGTCATACGGTCTTGGGGGGGGGGGGTTGCATACTATGTTGCACAACCCCGGGGCCATGAACCTAGGCAGGTAACCTACTAACTGAGTAACCTTTCCTAGTTGGTTGGTCACTCCCGTCAGTTCTAAGTGTTCCTCTACCTGAGCCAGCCAGAACTCAGGATCCTCTGATATAAACTCAGGATACATGCTTGTAAGCCCACGACGCTTATTTTCTCTGCCGGAACCGTCGCACCGGTCTCCTTATCATCGGAGAATTGGTTATACTTACGACATATGTGAACTGAACTGGAAGATAAATAACTAACTCGACAGATGGATACCCGAAACAGTGAACCTTGAATATTCTGGTGCTGTGAATACGTGTGGATAAATATATCTAACGAATTAAAAAGCTTTAAGTGCTAAAATAGGTTTTCGAAAATAAAATTCGGTTCAAAGATAAAACAAAATAAACAGATATAGTAGCACCGTTGACACAACGAAAAAAATTACAATCAGTATACGGTAAAGACAAAAACAAAATTGTTGTACGAAGGCACCAGACTCACTGAAAAAATTCAGGCCGTGGCGTGTTAAATAAACGGATTACAGAAAATCACGTCGAGCTCACCAATTTAGCACCTAGGACGGGCTGAGTGGCGACGCGTAACTAATTCTGCCGATAAAGCTTATCTTGTGGTTTCCAAAGTTAGACCGGACTGAGAAAGAAGCGGATATGAAGCGTTGAGTTTTGTGTCACCTTTAGTAACAAGGTGTACTGAGCGAGGAAGCGACAATACGACTTACCGGAAATGGTATCATATTCGAGGTCGTACGCGATCTCGTTATAAAGGCAATAAAACAAAATAGGGCCCTAACATGGATCAGCGGAATGGTGTTAAAAAGTCAAAATAATGTTACCGCAAAACTCGAAAGGCGTCTGACAGTGATATTTTAGTTATTCACTGGTTGCTGTTGTTTGTCACATCCTGCCGCTAATGTTCGCTCACGTTCTTCCCCAATATTCGTTCCAGGAGGAATAGAACCAAGGTTTCGGAATGCATAAACTTTGTATTCCGATAATTCGGAAATGTTGGAGGTGGGCTTGTCTAGCCAGACTATCACTTTAGCAACGGCCGCGGAAATCTGAAAGTAGACCTCATTAGAGCAAAGCAAGCGTGCCACACAGAGCTCACCATGGGGAATAGTGCCGATGCGGTCTTTTCGAGCTCATTAAAAGCACGATCATAGCTAAAGATAAAAATGATTCTGAAAACGTCCAAGGTGCCATATCTAATGAAGAAAATTTCCCCGGAAGATCACTATCACCAATTAATGGCGATATTTGCTGAACCTCGACGATACCTTTGCTTGTGACCGGTTTTGAAAAAGGGTACTTATGTTAGAAGAAAAAGAATACGGGTGGTCTAGCCTTCGTAATAATATTATGTGATCAAGGAGTTCAGTTGCTTTTTGACACCTGAACCTTGTTGGTTCTGCATAATCAGAACCAGAGAGGTGTAGGTGTGATTCGTAAGCCTCTCCTTGGTTCGGTGGCAGTCGGAGTTTTTGACTGACTCCCCTAGATGAATTGGCAATGGTTCACCGACCCGGGTACCGGGCCTCGATTTCGTCTCAGTTTGGTAAGAAAACGCCTCCCTCATGTGAATTCATGAGGACTTTCCCAGCAAAGTCTGATTGAGACGCTTGATCGTATGGGAGCATTTCGTGAGGCGTTGGTTTAAGCGCGAGGAACCTAACCGCGATACTAGATCATATAACTTACTGCAGATAACTGCGGCGCAGTTCACGATATCTGCTAAATCTGGTGACCGAAAAGGCTGAATAACATAACGGACGTGATCTCTTTTTACCTTGTTTGTTTCCTATCCGAGATTTTCTGATCACAGAGATTGATTGGTTGAGATTGATGGATTCATCTTCTGGTCTCTGATACGCTCGATCACCTATTTGTACAATCTTCTGGATTAAAGCCCCCCGAAATGGGTTTGTTGGTTATAACACGTGAATTCTTGGTGTGTTGACATCATAATATTTCTTGTTCTTTGAGCATGAACAACATTATCTTTGTATGACGGGTTTATATTTGACTCCGCTTCAACTGATTGTTCGTGCAACTACTGTATTTGAACCGTTCTTTTAAGCTAGTGCCGAGATCGCATGATTGTTCCAATGGGGCTCATTTCATCACTAACCTGCTCACAATTTTTTTGTTTTCCGTCAGCAAATTGAATGATGAAAAAATGGTAATCTATCGAAATTTTTGCGCCAGTCAGGAAAACCCCAGTCTGCAGAAGTCGCTCCTGAAGGATATGCAGGTTCGTACATTGCATTGCATTTCTGCCAATCACTTACCGAATTCAGTCGATTGTTCCATTTAATTGTTCTCATAATCGTTACGATTATTATTATTATTATTAATCCCTAATACTGTTTTCTACTTGATGGCAGCTTTTGGCGGATGACAATCGACGTTTGTTCGTGTATCTCTTACCGGATGTTTTCACCGTGGTGAGTCCCATTTTGCATGCCAGTACTTTTTTCCTAAAGCAGATTCTTGACGGTCTCAATGCACTCTGGAAGTGGTTATATGTGTTATTGGATAAATATGATGCCAGTGACCAGTCTGTGCCTTAAAATCTGGATTAAGCATGATGGTATTGGTGGCGCAGGGGTTTGGTTGCTGTCACCAGTGTACTTTGGATCCTGTAGTCCGAGATTTGAACCCCGTCACCGACGCCCACCTTTGGAAGTAGACATCTTTTCTGTTTTCCGGTTCGATACCACACCTAACCTAGCGGTACCTTATGTAGTTCGTCACTCCCAGTCCCGGGCTTAGGTTACCGGTTTCCAGCGCTCAACAGCAGGTCTTCGTGTCTGCGGGATTCCACCCTGTATGCTATTCATCACACTAAGGTTTGTAATAAGAAGACTGTCTAACGGTTGTATCCTCTGTGTGATCAGCGTTAACATTTCAGTTGTTTTTAACAACCACGCTTTAATTGGGTTGTATCTTTTTAACAAACTGTGCTACGGCCTAAGTGGGAAGGTGTTACCTCGGGTAATGATGAAACGTTCGATCAGTTTGGCTGACAAACGCAAATAAGTATGAGGCAGTATGGCCTAGGGAAATCGGTTTTAATTAATCTAACAAGAAAACATTGATCAACGATCGACCTTTGGCTTAAATTTTCTGATTAATCTCAAGCCGAGTTTTGTCCCACATGTGTTCAAGTTGACTTAACGAAGAGCTGCAAAACAGTCGTATTCCAATTTTGAGTGCGGGCTAACATGGAATTGGAATACGTGCGCTGAAATTTAAGGGCTTCCCGATGACCAAATTCATTTTGCGTATCACCATCCAATCGAATATCGAATTAGAGTTCATTCAAATCACACTATTCAAAAGTTGTTTTGGTTATCTTTTTTTCCGCTCAATGACCTAGTGATCACGGCACTTTAGTTTGATAAGATTCGTTTTTCCTTTTCTGTTCTTATCCTTCTCTGGTGACCAGTTCTCATCCGAATTGACTAACGATCCGGAATTCATGCGCCTAATCGTCGGAACTCTGGATCCGATCATGCTGAATACGTTAATTTGTGAAATTGTCCGCGGTCATTTAAATCTGTTTCGATCAAACGACCTCTCTCCTGTGCTGAGTAAGTTTTCACTTGGATTTCAAGTTGCTGTCATTATCAGTTACATAGACATGATCGATTGCGGATTTCCTGATTTGAGTTGATAATCTGCGGATAAGCTAGTATGGATTTGTTCGCGTCTTTTCCCGTCTTTTTGATGTCGTTTAACTGTACACTGTACGTTCACGATATTCGGTTATTCTTTCATCCTTCCCGTTACATTTTTCACCCCTTTCTCTCTCTCNAGAAGCTAGTCTCCAGTGGGATTCGATTGAACAACTGTTCTTTTGGCAGTTGATCAATGCGCACGAAATCCCAACTCGTCGATTTTTACCACTTGTGCGGTGCGTTGACCCTTCAAGTAAGTGCAGATCTCTTGAGCCGATCGCCACGCTCATTTCACTGTTAGTTGCGTTTTCTCTGCATTACAGACAACTGTGACACATACGAGGTATGGATATCATCTCCAGTTTGGGGTGTTATAAGCAGATTGTAATAAATTGTGTATACCTCTCAAGCATCCATTTGGTTCTGTTTTTTTCTCGATCCGAGGGAACTGCCCTCACCATACACCCAATTGCTTATTTCAATAAACCCAATCGATTCATCCTAGTCTCCTAAGGAGTTCAGGCTTTGAAAACGGTGAGGCAAACCAAGCGTTAAAAGGCACATTGATTCGTATTCAATACCACCTCGAGCGAGGAGCTGAACATTTCAGTGCACAGTTTGACTAGCCTTCATCTACATCAGATTCGTGAACTCCTGCTCCAAATAGACAAGTACAATGAGTTGAGATCAGTTCTCCTTCTCAAATGGAGGTTACACAGGAAATAAGTCACTTTAAAATGTATAATGTCTCTGATCGGATGGGTTATTCCTGTTGTAACCGCACGCGATTGTCTGGATACTAGATGCCCAAGAATCATGTTCCAATATTGTTCTTCGTTCAGATAGCGAAACTGAACTAGAAAACAGCTGCTGGCGCTTAGGAATTCAGTTATTATGTAAAAGCACGGTGGACGGAGGAATACATACACCAGACAACTGGATTACTATGCACCATGTTGGTTCGTTGTCGATTCCGATTAATCAACTTGAGTTTCGGCACTCGTTCTGATTGATTGTCCGAGAAGAAAGCGGTTTTCAGGGAACATGCTTATTTCCTGGCCATCCCCAAAGGCTTCTAAGGTTAGAGGTTCAACCTTGGTCTTGGAGTTGGAGAAACTTCTTCAGTATGGGAAAATGAACGAATTCCAGCTGATTGATACTAATCGGTCATCTCATCGATTTACAAGAGGGGCGATAGATCCACTTATTTTAATCAAACTATAGATAGTTCGATGAACAAAATCTCTACTGTTCCATACGGTACCGTACACCGTCGATCGTCAGGTAGATACAAAGACTCGACCGGCGTTTGCCACCTATTGTGCTGTCGCCACATTTGGTTGCCCGTGAAGGGTCGGGTTTACTGTGCATGACCCATTCGTTTCTTTTGCATGATGCACAGACAGGGGCGGTATGGGAACAGGATAAAGATAAACTGTGGGTGATCGGACACTGTTGCCTACGCTGATACAGAGTATTCTGATTGATAAACGGGACTAGCAATACCGAAATTAGACGCAAATCATTAGGTCGTCTCAGTCATCCATTGGAAAAAGTGCTCGATCACTATATATTGCAATGGTCGAGGGATGTGTTACGAATTTCAACATACGATGTTTCCCGTAAGCGGGTTCCGGTGGATTGAAGTCGATATCAGTCATCTACTGAAGTTCTTCACAGAATGTGTTATCGATCACCTTGATGCTGTTTCCGGTCCTTGAATTCTTCCCTCTGCCTTCTCATCCCATCGGATTACCAAAAGACAGCAATCAGTACCACTGCACGGAAGTGCAAGGTAATCTTTATCTAGGCTGAAAAATTTAAAATGCTAGTGACGATGACTGTAAATAGCCGTTTGACTTATCACTCTCCTCAACGTTTCCTGTCTCGCGAATTTGTCTGTCGGTACGGGACAGTTCATTTACAGATTGAAACACTTTTGTTCTTATTGTGCCTGTGATGTGACCACCGAACCTTTTGTATGAAGTGCATTGGTGCAAAACTTCCATTGCCTTTTCTAACCCGTAACGCCTAGTATACTCTATACCACCCTCAAAGGCCTGCTCACTGGCTTGTCTTGCGTCACTGTTCTTCATCTGAATTACCGTCGTTTAATGAATATTGATAAGTTTTACATTTTTCATTCCTTTTTTGTCATCCAGAACACCCGGAGGCGTGCACCAATCTAATTCAGCTGTTCAAACTAGAAAAGTGAGTCATAATTCGCTGCGTACAGTATTTTTCGGGAGTTTGTATTATTAGCATCAACTTCTTGTCCACGCCTCTAAACAAGCTATCACTGAATAAAATGAGTATTCATTCATTTCGTCCATCTGGTGTTCATTACCTTTTGGGATCAAAGAACTCAACTACTGCACTCTGAGTTTCAATCTACGTATTGGCAGCTTTTGATTTCTACGCAGCATCTCATTGTGATATATCGATCATAAAATTGAGACAAGTTTTTGATGATGTTTATAATTTCTTAATTAAATGTATTATTGTACTGTCAATTTTGAGGAAATGGGCTGAACTTAATCAAAGTATGTTGCGGCAAAAACCGAAATGGGTAAGATAAGCGGTAGTGCTGGGATTCGAACTTGGGATGTCCAGCCGTTGTTGCAGTATCCTTTACTTCTTAACGACTATCGCCCCGAGAGAGAGCAAAGTAAAAATATCTAATCAGAGTGGTCTAGTTATTATTGAAATAAAGTCGGCATTTTTCGACAATGTATCAAATGAAGTGTTCGTGGATTCTGTGAAGCGCGATTAGTGCATCCTAACAGGAAACACTCCTCGCTTAATCACTCTCCGCATGGATCTCGAAAGTTCCAATTTTGTTTATTTCTATCATAGAAGATTGGATGCAATCATATTTTAGTAGCGATTCTGCCTATCCATTCTCATTGTGCACGTGGTCTCATATACTTTGACAGACCGAACTACGAGTTGGTTCGAGCCCTTTTGTCCCGCCCCAAACCGGATGATCCACTCTCAGTGACTGCTTTGCATTTTTGGAGCTGTCCGGACAATCATAGTTCGTTGTTCGCCGAAATCCTAAGCGAAATGATTACTGTCCCCTTGTCTTTTCGTTCGGACTCGGCCTCGGGTTCGACCCGCGAGAATCGAGATAGAAGGCGAAACGGAGTAAAGTGAGCCCGACTATCAGTTGGAAGAACATTTCGGTTCTCTCATCTTGTTTTTGACCCAATCGCATTGCTTTTGACTTCTCGTAAACAGCTCGTATAAAGCTAATTCTAATTGTTTTGTTAATTTTGATTTTCAGTGTGATGCATATTCGGTTTCCATTAGAAATAATAGTCAATGAACTTTTTAATTTACAGCAGTTTCTTTGCCTCACGAATCAAACCAAACGTGCCTAATTCCTGGGAATTCCGGGAACGCGCTTCTTTCTCTAAAAGATAATAACTAAAATTCTCCTTATGATATACCGTTACCTCATATGAGTACATTGTCAGTGGCCAAAACTTGTTTTCAGTACACCATTCCCTACCCCTACGCGGCATATAGGGATGTGACGTGTTTTACTGCTGATTTCCGTTTCATCAAAACTAATGAGTGTGCGATTGGAAATGGGGGTTTGAATGAGGATTGGGTAAGTGGATCATAACCTGTTCCGCTCCTGTGAACAGAGTATGAAGCACTTAGTGCAATCTGCTCGCGACCGGTCGTAGTGGTTTTGGTCACATAGGTCAGGTGAAAATGAACCAGTGCTTATCGCCACCACGGTGGTTAGTGTGTGTGTGTGTCTGTGAAAACTCAGCACTCGACAAGCTTGATGACCGACGTTGGCACCTCTCATGGTACCAACCCTCCCTCCATACTGCAACAGTTTTATGTGATGCTATTTGATCTTTTGAGACAGCCACCTCGTTATGCAGTCAGAAAATGAATAACAGAAAACATCCAATGCGTATTCTCAATTCTTCGAATGTCTACTTATTGAGTAAGTGAGAACAGTCTTCGGGGCGTCTTGCAGTTACAAACTCAACACTAACAAAATGTGTTGCTTATATAGGGGACAATGGTCCGATCTTACAGAGTTTCATGTTTGGAATTGTGTTCGTGCGTAACTCATTTTTCTTCCACTTATTCCTCATAAGACTTCATCAACGGTGTTGGTTTTTATTGACAGCTGGTTCGTACTGTGTTCACGGCCTAGGTTAATAGGGTCACAGCCAATTAATGGCTACAGTGACCTATTGGCGTTTGTTCCCCTGTTTATTTCTAGATAGTGGTTTTCGTGCTCTGGTTTTCGACTTACTTTATTTATCGATTTTCTCGCCTAGTATCATTCATCATTTTATCTCTTCAACCTACCGTAATGTTCTCTAATCTGATTGGTTGAATTAATTATTGGTATGTATTTTACACCAGCAGTGCTTACGTTTATTTGGCAGTTCGTGCACAACGTTGTACTCATGGTTTTTGTCTGTACGTGCCAATGCACATCCTTCGGGGATCAATCCGAAACAATTCTGGGTTCCTATTGTTTTCAGGAATCAAATTACCCCTGAGAATGCAGTCGATCTCTCGCTAATCCTGACGCATTTGGATTCCATCCGGCGAAACTGCAAAAACATGTCCAGTGAGTAATTGTTCCCAGGGGTTTTCTCACTGGTTTTCCGCACTACTTAGCTGTTATCTATTCACTTGTTTGCTATTCGAGGAAAGCGATGCTTGCCTGTCCGTGCTTGTTCACCTTCCCCGTTGCAGTTTATTTTACCACGTTCCTTCTTGGTAATGGTGCCATCGCAGTGTTTGTGATTCCAGAAGAGATTTATCATCCCTGTCATTTTGACTGTTTGATTCATCCATAAATTATGCCTAACACATTCCTTTAGCTTGTCATGAATAAATGCCTCAGAGCTCATCTATGAAAATGCGTAACATCTTCCCTAATGCTCGGTCGGATGATCCTGAGATTAAAATCGATCATCCCGTGAACACATGGAATTGTCGTTAGAATGATTTAGTTGCCATTGTTATTCTAACCGTGTTTCGTTTGTTCCTCACACATCAGCTCGGAGATGATAGTTCTGTTGCTCACCTTCGAGTCTACTGATCGTATCTTGTCCTGTTTTTGAATGGTTATTCGTGATTTGGTTGTATCACATCCATTTAGGATCTCGCACATGTGCCGCGAATTTTTCCCAATACCGTGTAGTGTTCTCCAGCATCCATTGTCTCTTAGCTTTCGGTTCATAATTCACTTCATTTGAACGCCCCACCCCACCAATCCTAAGCCATCAATCCACCTTTTGAGTTTTCAGATCCCAAAACCAAACGCGGTGCAAACAACCGCCGTTGTTCACGTAAGTTCTAAGTCGAAGAGGTTGGAGTCCAAACATCTCGTCAATCTCAAGCCACCTTCACGATCAGTTCATTCGCTGTGATCTGCGCGTAGGCCCGACGCGGTGTCTTTTATCTAACCTCCGGTTTGTGTGTTTAAAATACAGGTCACTCGACAGCCAAACCGGATATTGCTTGCGTTGTGGTGTTTCAGTTTTCGCTTCCATCGCTCCCGTTTCAATTCGCACACTCGTATGTCTCATTCGCGTCAGCACATTACTCCAGCTCCCTTCTCTTCCAATCACCTGATCCGAATGGGTCAGATGCGTTCATATGGGGGAATGCATATAGGCGTATTGCTATTCGTTTCCTACATTATCACAGGTTTGTGTTTTGTGCCCGCAGATGTCATTTGGCTCCGAATGACATCTCACTTATCAATCATCCTATTCGTGTGTAAAATAATAAGAAATAAAACAACCGCTACCCCAGGTAGTCAAGACTAATTGCATTCGGTGAGAAGTAATCAAGTCAACAAGTTAAAAGAGTCAGTTTAAGTACCCTTGGAGAAGATACTCCCCCCTCCCCAATGAATTGGAAACTCTCCGTTCGTCGTCGTTTGTCTTTAGCTGAAAGCTTGCATATAACTCGCTAAAGCTTGTATACAATACAATGCAATAATGTAATGCTTGATCTAGCAGAAAAAAGGCAATTCACATTTTATTGTTATATCTCTTCAAATGGTTAATTGAAATACTTCAAGTGTTTTTCGCCTATCTTTCCTAGGGCTGACTTTTAGATTTGGGAAGCTAATCCGTTTTTGGAGATAATATTGTCGAATACCGTAGTACTGCGGAATTTGGCTAGTCACACACCGGATTAATTCGGTCCAGGTTGAAGTAGCACAACAAAAATTTGAACTTAAGACCAAAATACATTTTACAACTATAGCATTTCTGTGAGGATCTAAGAACATTCAGAAGACTCTCTGGATGATTGATATGATCCCTTAAAATTTATTTATTTATTGATCGGTAATCGGCTTCGTTAATTGTGTTTATGATTTTATTCCCACTCCTTGTAATCGATTGGCTCCCGCATGTGACAGTATCCCAGTTACACGCGTTACTGAGATCCCTCACCCGTCACTGCATTGGACTATTTGTGACCCAATCCAATATCTGCGGCATTTTTTTGCACGAATTTGATTGTTGGTTGTTTCACACACTCACCGGGCTGATCCGTCATTCTGTTTGAAAGCTCATCCCTGTTTCTTGATCTAACTCGGAGTGAAGATTGAATAGTTCTGGTTCTTTATAGGAACTGATGCCGTGGATGGTCTGCTGTGTGACAGCAGACCATGTAGTGTTTTGACCTATTCGGTGGCTTCTGGTACATTGTTACAAGAACTTTTCAGTAAACGACGATTGCCAGCGTCACCGTGTGGTTTTACGTTCTTAACTGCTGTTGCATTTCTACGGATGGTTCCACTGCAGCCATCCGTTGTGCCTTCAAAGTCCGTTTAGTACAGTTCAGTTTATAATGGGTGCTTGTAACACAGGTAAAATCAACCTCGCGTTGCTTAATCGATCCATGAGATGAACCTGCTATCAAGATAACGTCTTCGATTGCTGTTAGGTACTTTCTTTTTGACTCAGTGATCTGGTGTTTTTTTACAAATAGTGCAATGAGTCTGTTTCTTGTAGCTATCATACTTCTCTACATCGAGAGGATGGCGCGAACCACTCTCGATTTTAATCTACTGAGCGACTTATACCGCAACGCTTTGCTTCTTTCCTGCTTGGTTCTTTATAAGAGACGAAGATGTGCTGCAAAGGACATTATTGGGCTGATCTACCATAAGGCCAGAAATTGGGGCTTTTTAATCTCACAGGCATCGGTTGCGTTGTTCATCATTTCGCCGAATGCGCCCCTTGTGTACCCGTCCTGCAGTGTCATCGAGTTTTACAGTTTGCGTGCACAAACATTCGTTGAGTTCGGTGTCGATCGGAAATCTCAGTTTATTTCACTCCACTTCGTGCGTATGTGCACACAGATACGGGAGAAGACGTACGCATTCACTCTGTAATTTGGCTTTCCATCAAGGCTCAATCTGTTCTGTACTTGTCGCAGCCGATAGATGTTTGTAAATATACTTTGTCTGTGTTGTTTCCAGGGTGCGGTTGTTCGGTTCTATCTTGTGGAATGCGATGGAGGCTTTACGAAGGTTTAAATGAAATGAATTCACGTGTAACCTCCCATTAGCGTTTTGCAAGGTTGCCACATTAACGAGGTCGGGGTACACAGTTTATCTGCAAACAGATACCCGATTTTTACTCCATTGATCAGCTAACGGACAGGCAGAGATCAGTCGAGCGAATTGTGTCCACGTCACAGTAGTACATACATGTAATCGTTGATGCATGCAAGTGACTGCTGAAGTCACGCCAGGGACTAATATGGTTCTCTCAGGCAAGTGTGCCTAAAGTGGTTTGACAACTACGGTTGTGACAACATTACAATATCATAACATCCGTCGAAAGACACGACAACAAAGCTTGAGACGGAGTTGCGAGCTCTGAAAGTAAACGTTTATAACGTTCGCACAGCTGGTTCCGATGCGGAGCCATATTCTTCAGAGTTTCGAAAGCATGAATTTCAGCATCCTTCGAGTCTCGATCGGAGGGCTAACTGTATCCAATGTCTACTTGGACTCCACACCCACACCCGGTCATAGACTAAACTCTGTGATCCTTCCACCCATGACCATAGCGATCGATACCCTCGGTTGATAAGCATTGGTGCATACAAAGTCATCGGGAGTAGATTCGTGCAATCGCTTCCGTTAGGGAGCAGTTATTTGTAACTACGAAACGTCTTTGAACCTCGTCATTACTCATGTGATACGCTTCTCTGACGCCAAACGTGGTTCAGTTAAATCAGTAATCAAATACTAATTAACACCATCGCAACGACGCTGCACCGTGACGTGGTGTGATGGCTTGTGTACGTCTATGACTCAACGAGACACAAATTGGCTTCATCATACCTGGAAGGTCATAGGGTAGAGGTCAGAGGTCAGTCTTTTGGTCCTCCAGGTTTGGGGTACGACTCGAGTTAGCGTCTCAGTCGGTAAAATGGTAAGGGAGTAATCGATCCTAGTAAGTGGGCCTCCACTTCGCTTTACCCACTGCCTTGTGGTCAGGTTATTGTTAGAACTAAGGGTTTTAACGAGAACCTAATGGTTTCCCTGCTCACGAAGAGCCTAAAGAAAGACCGTGAGAACTTGTGGACAAAAATAGCTAGTGAGATAGAAGTAGCGGCTGAACCAGACACTAGACAAAGACTGTTTCAACGGATACGCAACACAGTAGGTCGGCGTAAGCCAGATAATGAAACAGTTTGCGATAAGAGGGAACAAGCTATTCACAATAAGGAACAAGGGCTTGGCTGGTGGCTAGGTGACAACCACATTATCTTGTCGGTTGTAGATGAGGCAGTTTCATGTGAACCCCCTACTGATTCACTTCATTTAAGCCTTGAAGAAGTGACGGGATCCCTCCCTTTCTTTTCAAGATGGGGGACGATAACCTTATAGACTGCAGTACTTAATGCGTAATATCTGGTCACAAGAGCTAATCACTGATCATCCCAATTTTTACGAAGGGATCTCGCAGCGACTGCGCAACTCACCATGGAATGAGTTTGATCCTAATCGTCACCAAAGTATTAGCCCCCGTCACACTTCGACGTCTGACACCGTTTAGGGAGACAAATATCCTCAAACAATAAGCAGGATTCCGACCAGGTCGCGGTTGTATCGATCAGACCTTTACGCTGCGTCGTCTTCGAACTGCGACATACGCACCGTCGACGCACGGTGTTCGTGTTCTTTGATCTCAAAACAGCATTGAACTCAGTTGACCACGAATCGCTTATCGGTTCACTCCTTCGCAAAGGAACGTAAGAAAGTAAGTTCACTCTACTCATAATTCTGGTAGCGTGCGGGTCTATGGTGAGCTGACTAGGTCTTTCGTAACTAGCAGTGGTGTTCGTCCAGGGTGCCCTCTAACCATTTCTGGTCAATTCCGTCATAGACGAAATACTGGATAATGCATTATGTGGTCTCCAAAACGTAGGTGTTGAATGGGCAACTGCAGAAAATCTGTGCCATCTGGAGTATGCCGAGGACATTGTTTGTCTGTATGGAGTATGCACTTTAGGTTTGTGCTTTGTACTTTCAAAGTGAAAAGTGATCCTGCAAGACTGGTTGTCGCCGAGTGCCGTTTTGAAACTAGACGGTCAGGAATTAGCAGAAGTTGAGTGCTTTTCGTAGACAAGTAGCTGCGTGACAAACGGCGGTATTGCATCAAAGGAGATAACCGCCCGCATTTCCAAGGCTTGAACAGCATACGAAGGACTGAAATACCTGTGGCCATGACGTGATGTTTCATTGTAGGTGAAAAGTCGCGTATACCGTACGATCCGTTCTGCTTTACGGTTGAGACCTTGAATTTGCTGTCACTTCTTATCAGACCAGAATGATTGAAAACGTGTCCATACATAGTTGGGCTGTGTACTCTGCGTGTTGACCATAGGGGTTCTCTTTCTTTTCTCGTCTCTCAAAATTCCTATCCTCTTTCCAAATTCTCACTTGCCTTGTATGCATTATAAGTTTGGCAGCGATCAATGAAGTTTGCTTCACTTTATTGCACTGTGCAATGATGATCATGATGATGATGTTACTGATTGACTTCGAGTGTCCCCGCACTCGTGCCTGTGCAGAGCGGTGGATATCTGTGGATTTCGCTATTGGCTAAATGCAACTAGCCTCGGATACCAACAGCAGCTGCCTCACATTTAGAGTGAATCATATTATCAATTCTTTATGATATGGTGATTGCAGGATCGGGTGGTTTTGGCGCAGGGGTCTAAACGCTGCCACCGCTGTGCTTTCGACCCTATGGTCCGAAGTTTGATACTGGTGCTTCTTATAATGCATACCTTCAAACCTTGGCTTTCACGTCAATCTCATACGGTCGCTTCCTGAATATCCCATGTGATAATATTCCGTGCGTAGCGCTTCGTGTCGAGGCCGTCGCAGTCTTTTTTCTATAAACAAGCTATCTGGCGAATTTAGGTTTAGGTGTGCCATTTCTGACTTTGCCGTGCTTACCCTTTTTTAAACTTCTAGTCTGCTTATCGTGGAAACCAGATACGAAAAAGCGACCGGGATCCTACTTGACCTTCTTAATTCTTGACTATTCCTGAAGCCTTAGTCCACACATACGCGAACTGCACGATGGTAGAGTTGTGTGTCTCGTAAACGCATTCAAGAGTCTCAACTCGCCTCAACCTGGTTAGGCCTACCTGTCCAGCGGTGTATAGCGATGTGACTAGACAACATCTAATCGGATCCGAAGATGAAAACTGAACTCCGAATGGGGAGCCCAAACTGCTCCAACACCATGAGACAACACAAGTCAATCAAACGTGCTACCTTTTCCTGTCACCCATAAATTCTAAATCGTACTTCCTGATCCGTAAAACGCAATGACATATGAACCTGTTTATTGTTTAGTATGAAATTGCCAAAATTTGTAAGACACTCATTTTGGCCTCTCACTGCAATATCAGCCGGTAAACAGTAAGTACAACTAGCCGCATTCAATGGAAAGTTCAATCTAAACTTTGATTGTGTTTCATGTCTTATACTTTCACACTGTTGGATTATTAGCAGCAAATATTTTGCCTTAGTTCCGGATGCGTCTAAATCCTGCTGCCTGTAAACGTGTCCCTCATCGCCATCATAAATTGATGTTTGCGCAATAACCCCGCTTTTCAGTTATTGTATTGACTTGTGGTGCGTGTCTAGTTCACGAGCATGTTCTCCGTTTCACTTCTTCCACGTCGGCAACACCTAATATATCCCTCCCTCTCTTACCCTATCGAAAAAAATTGGAATCGGTCAGTTTTACAAGATGCCGATATACAAAACGCTTTACAATCAGTAGCCAACTCACAAGACGTCCCTGTGAACATCAAGGACCATTTCTCAGATCTATTGGCTTTAGCTGAAGATCAACCATCTCCGCCTTCCATGAGTGTGGGTGGAAACACACGATCAGCCGGGGCCCAGTCATCAGGAGTCGGGTATCGTCTGAACGGAGCCCCAGGATCGAACACAGAGACAAACACTCGTCGAGGTGGGGCTACTGGTCGTGGTGCCGCATTCGGAAGCAAAGGAGGTCATAGTTTACGTAACTTGGATTCCCGCCGGGCGGCTGAGGTAATTTTATTTGAAATCGCAAAAGGATTGTCTTGTTCCTTATAAATGTTCATTGCACATTACTGTGTGACGAACAGCAGAAGTAAACCTTTAGTCAGTCAATCATGGGACCCCGCAACCTAATTCCCGAGACTTAAAGTAGCGAACCACAAAACCACCATAGTTCGTGTACCCTCTAATAATGAGCAGCCACTTCATCATCGTTGTCGTACAGTGAAACCAGCTTCACTGTTCCGTGCCAAACGCGCAATGTACAAGTAAGGATAACTATTTGCCTGAGAATATCTAACCATAGCCATCCGGTATCTCAAATTAAATGACGGTGTGTTTTCTATTGTCTGGATGGTTTTAAATTGATTTGAAGAAAGAGTAGTGCGGATGGAGTCTTTGTAACACACGGACCAGCCTGAAAATACTGCCTGATAGACAAGGTTAAACCAGATAATTTCCTTATTGGATTCACGGAGTCTTTAACTAGTATAAGCCACCGGGGTGGTATGTGATGACAATCAGCTATTGAGAACCGTTGTCTGGGTAGTTAGATCTCACGTTCTTGAGACGCAGTTCATACGTCGCCGATGCCCGATCAAACGGGTTTAAAATCATCTTCCAAATTTTCGTAGATGACTTAATAAACTTATTGAGGAACATATTAAAACTGAATCATCGACCGATTTCTGGTTGAACCTTATCAAAACGTGTTACTGGGAGCCTTTATTACATCATTTTATCGAATGTCAAAAATCACCGTGTTTTGTGTCCCACGATTTTTTTCGAATCCGCTGTCTAACTTTGCACTTTTTAACACCCCCATCCCATACCTCATTTTCCCCCTTTATTGAGAATTGACTGTCGATTGGTGTGTTTAACAACCACAAAAGTGAAAAGATTGTTATCATCAGACCGGCAGGTATGAGTTTTTTTGTCACAGAGCTAGTTGTGCAAAATGTGCATCACCTTATTTAGTATCATTCGACTGACCTCTCCATCTCATTAAATCTGATCCTTTTTGACAGGCCGAAAGACGCCAAATTCCCAGCACAACTAGCAAGCGTTCGGCACGTGGTGCAGCTGCAAATAGTGGGACTCCACAGGCTTCAAACGAGGTCGAATCCGATACCGACGACAATGAAGCTTCTTCAGTAGTCAGTTCCTCAGGTTCTGTTTCATCCGCCTCTTCAGATAATGATGACCCGGGGAGCGCTGAATCGGGGACTATTTCAAAGTCTATTGCAGCCCAGAAAAAGCGCCGCTCTCGAAACAGCAGCCCCGTTCGAGGTGGCGGAAACACCGCTAAGACTGGAAAAAGAACTGCTAGTGATAATAAAGAACGTCGGTCCATGACTGGTGGAAAGCGTGGTCCTGCACGGGCAGAGCAAGAGTCGAGCCCGAAGGAAATAGTAGTCCTGGATGACAGTTTGAACGACGAGGAAGAAGATGATGACGATGAAGATAAAAGTTTGGAGGTGGTGGTTATTGAGGAAGACAGTGGAGACGAGCAAAACAACGATCGAATTCGTCCATCTAAGCGACGCAAAACCGCTAACCGACGTTTTAACTTAGATGATTAGCTACAAACAGCTCCAGTGTTGAATTACAGGCGGAATCGACGTAGTTTACCTACAGATCGATCATCGGGGATCAAACCTGCAAATGATAATGATCATTTTTAGATACTTTCCCGGCCAATGATCGTTGCCAAACGAATACCTACTCTCAACAGTGAAATTTCCAGATCCATTGTAAAAATTCCACTTATGATTTTTATTGTACTGACCCCTGTATCTGTATCCGACTGCACAAAACAACCTGTTCATCTCATTTCTCTGGTTGAAGCATCGAGTGAACTTACTGCTATACGTTTTTGCCAAGCACAGCATAAAATACCATGAAGTCTCAACTCAGACATTTTGCGCTTTGATAATTAACCCAACACGCAAATTTGAGCGACTGACAATGGAGGCACCCCTCAAAGGTTTTGAAGATTAATCCAGTATAACAAGCAATTAACTTAATGAGACTCGCTATGTCGGCCTAAAGGATATCTTGGGTAGCAACCGTATGGAAACGACGATCCTGGACGAGAAGGTTATTGCCTACAGTCAGTTATGATACACGTGATGTGATACTTATCCCTCTGAGGTATATTATCGTCTCATTAAGTTGCTTTGGGTCATATAAATGCTGAGTAATATTCCATGGGTGACGTATACAGGAGGCATCTCGTATGATTTGCGAGTGGGAGGAAGAACTAGATAGATGAGGAAGAGGGTTTTTCAAATGGTTACCTGAGACCATAGAGCATGATGTACTTCACGTTAGCCCATTTCGAAGAGGATTTTCTATGGAAACCCTGACGAGAGCCATTCACTGGAAAGTCTGATCAACAAACCAGCCAGAAGTTGCGGGTTTTTCTTTAGAATTTTAACTGGGTTTTCGAATCAAACAAGGCCGTGGAGCGTTACCGAAGCATCCCTGCGGGAGCCTTTTTATCACACACCGCTGCGTCATGAACGGCAGATGCGGCGACCCCCAAATTTGCAAAGACCTGCTGTCCAGTGATGGAAAACGTCAATCTAAGCCCCGAGATTTAGAGGTGTACGATCCACCCACCCACACTTACCGGTTTCGGCAGTGGTCACCGGCTCAATCCGACCCCATCCAAAGGGCGTATGATCCGATGAACTGGAAACCAGGCCCCAATGTATTGCGTTTTTAACACACCGCCGTCTGCCTTGCGGGTGGAGCTTTGACTAGCCCACGGCTCCGGTTGTGAATTCCCCAAAAAAGTTGGTCAGGGCAACCTAACACTATCATGCCCTCGAACAACTCGCGGACCTTTTACTTTCCACAGAGATTATTGTGCAATGATTCGTTTGGCGCGCAAAAATATTTTGCTTTACTATCTCTACCTCAAAAGGCATAAGACCTCCAGTCCAGACGGCCTGTCCCCAGTTGAGTGGGTGATGCATTTGGTCTTCGTCATGCCTTTCACCATTTCCGTCAGGTGGTTTGTAAATTCTACCCCTGATACCAGGGGATCACACTGTTCGTTGGGAAATGTTCATTGGAAATCTCTCCCCAAAATTTTAAGTTTGGTGTAGTCAAAAAACATACAGGAGCTAACCGTAGAATTGTGCGGTACGGATGCCCAGCAAATATAGTCAAACGTCAACACAGCATGATCATTACGCCCCAATGGAGCTGTAGTGGAAATCGTTTCCACCATCAGTTCCTTGTTAGCTAACACCAAGTCCGAAACCAACGGTGACTGGTTGGCTCCAAACCTCGTGGGCTTCTTCACAGAATTTTAAAGTGGATAGGATTCCATAAATTGTGCGAGTTTCCTCTCAAACGGTTGNCGGTTGTAGGCAGGTCACTGATTTACCTAGATTGGGGCAATTGAAGTCACCCATAATGAGAACATGTGTGAACTTCAGTGACAGAATGTGATACATGGTTTGCAATAGTGTCTCAATGGCTGGATTTGTGGGTGATCGAGAGTGGTACACCACACCTATCAAGCCGATATCGCGCTGCCGCAGTCGCACTCTGCACCACAGTGAGTCCGGAGCCGCTGCAGGATAATCAATTACCTCTCATTGTAGTTTGCTGCTAAAGTAGAGTAACCCCACCACTCCTTGTAGGTCGATCGCGTCTGAACAGAATCATGCCGGGTAAGCGTAGTTCTGAGTTCAGAATGTCCGTTGTCAGCCAGGTTTCGGTTACTGCAATAATGTCCCATTGACCAATTTGGCAACGCAGTTCTACCTCTGAAAGTCGGCTGAGAAAAACTTGGGAGTTAGTGTAAAACCAATGCGGTTGGTGGCGAAGCAGAAAGTCGTCGAGGTGTGGAGGATTAGTTGAGCCGACCGTATCCCAGCTCGTATGGAGGTGATATTTTCTGTCTGAGAAACACTTTGTTCCTGGGTTGTGCATCGGTCTCAACCGCAGTTCCCAGGGTCCCTTGATCTTGTTGTCGTACCACGACTGTATGACAGTCGTAACCATTTCTGGTGTGCTTAGTGTTATTTTCATAATTCTTGAACCGTAGTTAGTAGAACAGGGAAGACGGCTAACTGCTGTAGTCAAGATCTGGCGACATCCGATGAGATCTTGAATGAACCGCCACTCTTTACAGTCATTTTGCTGTGTGTGGATCATTTAATTGTGGGACTCCGTGCATAAGAATCACCCGGGCGTTGTTTGTTTCCCTTACGCTGTCCGGGTTATTGCGTTGGTGCGCGCGCTCGCTCCTCATTTTACTTGAACTTCCTCGAAGGAGAAAGCTGGACAGCCGAACGTTTTCTACGTC